GGGCCGCACGCATGCCAGGCGAGCGCGCTACCGCTTGAGCCACATCCCCAGCCCCTGAGATTGATTTTTAAATTAAATTTTTATTTATGGGCTTGGGCTGTAGTTCAGTGGCAGAGCACTTGCCTGGCATACCTGAGGTACTGGGTTTGATCCTCAGCACCACATAAAAATAATCAAATCAAATAAAAGCATTCTGTTCATCCACAACTACAAAAAAAAAATTACATGGGAAGTTACAAATTTATAGTATGAAGGATCCTTACTTAGATCCTGCAGTGCAGTACAAGGTCACACAGCAAGTTAGAGGTTAAACAGACATCTGAAACCTGAGCTGTTTCTCTGCTTAGCTTTCTAGGAGTAGACAAAGCCTAGCTGGCAGCCAGCATGGAAGCCCTTGCCTAAAAGGTATTTATGGGACTCAGAATTGTTCCCTTTCTGTTTTCACCCAAAGCTTTCCTTATCTTAGGAAGTGGAGAATCTGGCTAAATCCCAGTGTATCCATCTGGTTAAAATAAACATCTTGGGTGGTCTAAAATGGAATAGAACTTGGTGAAAAGTCAGTTTTGGAAGTAGGACACATTTTGTCTCAATGAGGTGTGGGATTTTTTTTTAGCACCAGTTGAACACATGGTCTCAGCCCCATGGCTGAGTATTTCCTCCCAGCTGAATACTTCTATATCACTGCCAGCTGCTTGTGGTAGGGTTTGGGGAGGAAGGTATTCTCTGAAAGGTAAGACGGTGGCCCCCAATAGACACTGATGGATCCCAGAAATCAGTGGTCCAGGAGGATAACTACCAGCTGTTGTTGTGAAGTAGAGGTCTAACTGCATATCCTGTTTTTCTTTAAATGACCCATGAAAATACACAGAATGTTTTGTTTTAATGTGATACTGGGGATAGAACTCAGGGACATTCTACTAATGAGCTACATCCTCAGGCCTTTTTTTAAGATATGGTCTTGCTAAATTGCCCAGACTGTCCTGGAACTTGCAGTCCTCCTGCCTCAGCCTCCAGAGTAACTGGGATTATAACTACCACATCTTGCTCAAAATACATTTTAAAAAATTGTTACCTACATGGGACTGTTATTAGAAAGGTGGGTCATGTGTCCAGCCTCAGGAGTATGCTAATCACATTATCCCTATTAACTTGTATTATCTAGAGTTCTTGCTCACTTCCGGGCTCATCAGTTTGAAGTTTGCTGCAGAAGATGGTTTTTGTTTCAATTCTTTGAAAAGCATTGCAAGAAGCAGCTCTCGTTAAGCAGTTGAACCATCCAAACCACTTCTCCTTTTTAGGGAAATATTAATATTCATTCTCCAGATGTAAATGAATTGAAAATTTTACTTTGAAGAGTCCTTCTAGCACTAACCTATTCTTCTAAGCTTCAGAGCTAAGTGTTCAGTTTAGGAGTGAAAAAATCAGGACCTTGGATGAATGGGCAAAGGAATTGCTCCTGAATCTGGGTAAATTGAGTACCAATGGGAGATTAAACATCCTCTATCCAGGTATACTGGGGAGAAGTCAAGAAGCCACTTTGGTTGTATAACAGCTTTTGCAGGTGGGTACTAGGGATTGAACGTTGGGGCCCTTTACCACTGAGCTACATTCCCAGCCTTTTTTAAATTTTGAGACAAGRGTCTTACTTAATTGCCCAGGCTGGTTTCTGAGTCTTCTGAGTAGGGAGGATTACAGATGTATACCACAGTGTCTAGCCCCACCCAGTTCCTTTACCTAGAGGGGCATTCATTTTCTCTGTGTGTACAAAAATTTTAAGACATAATGAACATCACAAAGACCCACTCACAATAAAACTACCATCACAGACCCTGGTTTCTGTACTTTGGGTTGACATTAGTGTATTGTTATTTCCATGTGGTGGAAATGCATTTGTAGAGAAAAACAAACAGGGGAATTACTAGCTTATACAATAGGGAAGTGGGGTAGTATTGGCTTCAGACATGACTGGAGCACTGGTCTCATACCTACTTCTCTTTGTGCTGGCTTCATGTTCTTTTCCGAGAGGGAAAGGACAAAGTTGCCATTTCCCCAAGTTCATACCCCAATCACATAGCAAGCCCAAAGCTTAACTGCTGATCTCAGGAGGACTGGTCCAGCGTGGGATACATATGTTCCCTGTACATTGTGACGAATGGGTTATAGAATAGGACTAGGGAAAAGAAATAGGGGTGCAGGATGTRCAAAACTCACACAGATGGCTAAAAGGGAGAGTGAAGGAGGTAAGGCAGAGTAAAAACAGTACTTGGTCCCCAGAGCCATAAAGGATCAATCAAGAACTGTTACATTTTAAAAATAAACAAAAACAGAACAACTTTATTTGACAAAAGACAAAAACAAAGTTATTTACAGTAGTTTTTTGCTCAAATAATTCAATGGGACAACTGTGCTTTATCCTCCAGGTTTACTTACAACCAAATCCAAGCAGAGGCTGCTCTATCCCCAGAGGCCCCATTTTATACAAGAAGGGAATGCCAGACAGAATTCAGCAGCATGGCCCCCTCTCCCCTCACAGTTCAGTGCACTGCAGGAAAGGAAAACCCCACTCCAACCCAATACACTGAGTCACCTACTGTAGGAGTCCTCCAACAGTTACATTAGATCTGGGCTCACAGACACCACTGGGGTAGGAGAGATGGAAGCACAGTAGCTTCAGAGCTTCAGCTTGGAAGCTGCCATGTTGACCTTCCCCAACTGGGTCTGATGAGGGTGAAGATACCCAGTTCCCTGCAGCAAAGAGGCAGGAGGGAGGCAGAACAGAGAGCCTAGGAAACCTGCCCATTTACAGAGGGCAAAACTCCCTTTCTGTAAGTAACCTATTCCCATGCCCACTCCAAGGGATGGGCCAAGTCATTCAGGAGAGGTAGGGGAACCTCCCTGAGGGTGTCAGGGATCTTCCGAAAAAGGACAAAGTATATGCCCTTGCTDTGGCCAAGTCAGTCAACACCCAGGAACCCCTTCCCCTCATGCCCAACCTGGCAATTTCAGGAAACTACAACAGGCCAGGGCTCCTGGCCTAACTTTTGGCCCAGTAACAATGTTATTCAGAACAAAAATATTTTGGCTAATAAAAGTCTAGGATTAGTGTTTCTTAAGATATATAAAGATGGGGTATACTGCTGTTGAACACTA